ACAGTAGGTCAGAGGAACAGTGCGGCTGTGGAGCAAGATTTTTACCATAGTTGTAAATATGATTAATGAAATTCTCTGACTGCGATATGTAATCGCTGGGAAATGTTCTAGAGGTCTCTGGCACAGCGCGTTCGTTAAAAAATTTTTGAACGGGATTTAGTGGTTCCTGGCCTAATCCTTCTATGAACTCGTCTGGCAATTCGAAATCCAGTCCTGACACAAAGAAGTCAACATCACACTGCTCCGGAATGCATTCAACAAATGCTGGATCATTTGCTTGCACCATTACGGAATATGGATCCATGGTTAGTAGCTCAGTAAGATCGTCATCGGCACTTGCCGCCACATGAAACGAGTCTGGTACGCCCAAATAACTTTCGCGCATTTGCGGCATTTGAAATTGTGTTGGTACTTCCAAATTTGTTCCATTCTCAGCTCGTATGGTGAAAAAAACAGCTGTAAGAATTAAAAGGTACGAAGTATAGGCGACAAGGTATCGCGTATGTGACATCCACAATACGATGTGTGCGGGGATGAAAACGGAGGAGGAAACAGTGAATCTGGCGTGAAAAATATCCCATTAATATGCTATGTAGTCGCTCTTCACTCAGGATTATAATGGGCAAAGTTTAACAAAAAACAGCCAGCTGGCAATTCACAAAAGCCTCTTTTTGAGCACCACAAATTGCTTCGTAATAAAAGACTCAAAAATTGAATCGAAAACGTTGGACGTTAGCTAATACAGGAAAACAAAGGACTTCGCTGAAACTGAAAAGGAAGTGCTGAGCTCTAGTCAAAGAACCCCGTTTTCAGACAAGTTAGAGGCCAAATGATTTTCCATCCGCGCAGTATTCTTCAAGGATTTTCCATCCGTTTCGTGAAAGGTCAGTTTATTGGTTATATTTTTCCACCGATTATCTGGTTGAACATTTTTGAAGTTTATTCTTGGATGAGTCTTATTGGTTCCCGGAATTTGAGTTTTAGAGAGAAAATTCGTTGAACTGTGTGATGCAAAGGCAAAATGTGCGTCGTAGGCCTGATCAGTGAAGTATTCTGGTTGTGATGTGTAATCACCGGAAAACATTTTGGAATTTTCTGGTACTGCAGGTTGATTAAAATCGATTTCAACAACACTTATTTCCAGTGGTCTCCGTCACAGTGCTTCAATCGCCACATTTGGTATTTTTAAATCCACTGCGTCTGACAGAGTAAAACGGATTTGCG